ACACCTGAAGTCAAGAATAGAAAAAAATTGCAATGTAGTCCAGTTGGGCAAATTATATACAAAAACCCATTATTTTTTGACGGCCATGTTGAATGTAAAATTTTCCCGTTAAAGGTGCGAGACGATGAAGATGTGCGTAACATGTTTCACAGTCACGAGTATTATGGTTTCTCAGATATCGTGTTATATGTTAAGTTACAACAACAACAACAGTCTCAACAACTTGATTCTTCTCAAGTTTTTTGCGATTCTGACGAGGAGCACGCTGAAGTCAATGTCGTTGACGAAGAAGAAGAAGCAACCGAAGTCACTGTTAACGAGATGGTGAACAACCAGGAGGATGGAGTTCCACCCGACAATGTTTATTGTCCACCTCAACACATGACAACTCTCGACTTAGGTGACGATGAACCATCGACGGATGTTTTCTACAACCCCAACTACACAACAGAAGGACAACTAAAAGAGGGTGACGAGTTTCGTACGAAAGAAGATTATGTCCGGGCAATCAAACAGTTTCACATGGAGTTGTCAGCCAATTATAGAGTCGATCGGACAAATCCGACGCGGTATACGATCTATTGTCGTAACAAGGAGTGCCCGTTCCGATTAACAACATCTTTCAGGAAGAGAAGCGACTCCTGGAAGATAGGGTCAATGGGTCCGTCCCACAATTGTATAAACTCGAATCCGATACAAGACCATCGCAAACTCAGCTCTAAATTGATTTGCGATGAGATTTTGTCAGTCATTAGCGACAACCCTTCTTTGAAGGTGAGTACCATAATTGCACATATGGTTCAACGGTACAATTACACTCCTTCATACCGAAAAGCCTGGATTGCCAGGACTAAAGCGGTTGAAAGGGTGTTTGGAAATTGGGAGGATTCGTACAAGGAACTTCCAAAATTCCTTGTGGCCCTTAAACACTACTCTCCAGGAACTGTTGCGATATTGGAGACAATGCCTGCGTGTACACCAGACGGGACTTGGGTTGGTGGAAATAGAATTTTTCACAGACTCTTTTGGGCGTTTGAACCGTGCATCAAAGGGTTTGCATATTGTAAACCTATAACTCAAATTGACAAAATATGGTTATACGGGAAATATACACTTCCCATGGCTGTGGCACAGGATGGGAACAACAACATTTTTCCAATAGCCTTCGCTATAGTAGAAGGGGAGACTACTAGGGGTTGGAGTTTTTTCTTAAAAAATCTCTGCTCTTACGTGTCTCCCCAATCTAACTTATGTTTAATCTCTGATCGACACCCATCAATCGAGAGTGCATACAAAAACCAAGACAACGGTTGGCAGGATCCTCCCTCGACCCACGTCTATTGCATAAGGCATATTGTCCAAAATTTCATGAGGGAAATCAAAGACAAGACGTTACGGAAGAAGGTTGTGAACGCATGATATGCACTAACTGAACCCACATTCAAATACTACCGCGACGAGATCAGATTAACAAACGCGAATGCATTAAGATGGATTGATAACATTGATAGGGAGAAATGGACGCGAGGCATACGACAATGGGGTGCGATGGGGCCACATGACAACTAACCTCGTAGAGTCAATGAATTCTGTTTTCAAGGGAATCCGAAACCTCCCAATAACTGCCTTGGTAAGGGCAACCTATTTTAGGCTAGGATCACTCTTTGATAGCAGACGTACAAAGTGGGGTTCAATATTACAATCGGGTCAGCTGTACAGCGATACTTCAATGAATTTCATGAAAGAGGAAGCTGTCAAAGCCAACAGACACGTGGTCCCAATATTTGACTGTACAACTGGTTGGTTTAGTGTTGCCGAGTCTATTGATCACAACGAAGGAAGACCTAGGGGATGTTACCGTGTTGAATTGGATAAGAGTTGGTGTGATTGTGAAAAGTTTCAAGCATTCCGTATGCCTTGCTCTCATGTCATAGCAGCGTGTTCGAAGGCGCGCCAGGACCCGACCAACCTTCTTTCTGCAGTTCACCGAGTGATAAGTCTATGCAATGTCTACACATGCAGCTTTCAGGTGGTGGCAAAGGAGAACTATTGGCCTCAATACGAAGGCGAAATTGTGTGGCATAATGACTTGATGCGCAGAAAGAAAAAGGGTCGGCCTAACAGCATGCGCATTCGAACAGAGACGGATACCGCAGATAAGCTGGTAAGATTGTGTAGTTCGTGTCAACAACCAGGACACAATCGTACAAAATGTCCTAACGTGGGATCAAGTAGCAGATCATAGTTTCATATGTAATCTCGCCCCTTTAAATTAATAGCAAATTTCATTCGATTTACATCATAGTTAACTGACATAACAACAACATAAAGACAGAACACTGCACCAAGGCAACATAAATTAAACAAACATAACAACAACGTAAAGACATAAAACAAAACACTGCACCAAGGCGTCTACGATATCACGACCATCAACTTTATCTTCTTCGGTGTTAACATTATCACAAGGACACCGACATCATTTTCCATTTTTCTCCATTCACGAGTAACTCCGTTTCTCCCGGTCTCCTCGACCAACCTCTCAATTTTCCTAATCTTTTGTCCTGGACCAATATCTCCTTCTAGCTAGCGGTTCAGTTCCCTGTGCAAGTGCTCCAACGTCTGCGTATTCCACAGGAGCACCTTCATCGGAGGCTTTGTTGCTGAAAAGACAATTAGGACATTTCTTTTTATTAGATCGAATGTTGGAGAGGGTTTCTCCGATGCTGATGACGGTGCAGACATTATAGACTCCACTCCACTCAAAATGCACTAACGTAGTCTTTTGGTATACAATGTTGTGAAAACATATATGTGTTTGCAGTCGTATTTATAGAAAAATAAAAAAGTACGTGCTTCATATGATATGTCTTAAGTACCCTTACAAAATTTATTCACTTTATAATTCAATGGTTAATCAATTTTTATGTTTTAAAATTTATAATTTACATCAATTTATATGCTTTAAAATTAAATTGTATTTAAATTAATTTATAATTAAATTTATAATTCAATGCTTTAAAATCAATTTATAATTCAATGGTTAATCAAATTTTTATTTTGTATTTACATTAATTTATAATTATTTTTTTTATAAATTTTTTTAACTTAAACATAATAATTATTAATTATTTTATAAATATTACTTAAAAATATTACTTAAATTTATTAAACCTTATTTTAAATAATTACTTAAATTTATTAAAAACTATATTTTACATAATAAGACTATAATTATGGAATAATAATATAGAGTAAAACATTAAGCAAACCATAGAATCAACTGATTCACCAATCGTGATGGCGATATGGGGCATTTTTCATCACAGTCGCCAATCCTGATGGCGAGATCATGCAAGTCCAGAACGTGATTGCCAATCCAAACGGTGACAGGTTGTTGAATTGTTGCTAGTTTCGTCAATTTATTGAGTGTTTTGTTATTTTGGTAAATACTCATTAATATTTGGTTACTTTAAAAAAAATTCTATTTTTTATGTGTTTATTTTTTAAAATTTAAATTATATATAAAAAAATAAAATAAAACAGTTGTGCAAACTACCCCATAACAGTTAATAAAAAAAGTTAGTAAAATAGAAGTTAAATTTTAAAATAAAAAACAAAAGAGTATAATTGAAATAAAAATAGGCTACACCAAATCCAAGTTTTCCCTTTATATAAAAATTATAGATATATAAAAAAATAAATAAAATAGTTGTGCAAACTACCATCAATAAAAAAGAAGTTAGTAAAATAGAAGTTGAATTTTAAAATAAAAAACAAAAGGGTATAATTGAAATAAAAATAGGCTACACCAAATCCAAATTTTCCCTTTATATATGTTATAGATTATTGATTATAGATATATAAAAAAATTAAATAAAATAGTTGTGCAAAATACCACATAACAGTTAATAAAAAAAAAAATTTAGTAAAATAGAAGTTGAATTTTAAAATAAAAAACAAAAGGGCATAATTGAAATAAAAATAAGGTACACCAAATCCAAGTTTTTCTTTTATATATATATATATATATATATATATATATATATATATATATATATATATATATATATATATATATATATATATATATATATATATATATATATATATATATATATATATATATATATATATATATATATATATATATATATATATATATATATATATATATATATATATATATATATATATATATATATATATATATATATATATATATGTTATAGATTATAGATTTAAATTTTATATAAAAAAAATTAAATAAAATAGTTGTGTAAACTATCACATATTAGTTAATAAAAAAGAAGTTAATAAAATAAAAATTAAATTTTAAAATAAAAAATAAAAGGGTATAATTAAAATAAAAATAGGCTACACCAAAACCAAAATTTTCTTTTATTTATACCAGTGTTCAGACGGACACTCGTCTGTCCATCTGTCTTATTTTTTAATGCGCATAAAAATATAAATGATACTTTTTGTTAAAATAATTTTTAAAAAAATATAATATATGAAAGTTAATAATAAGAAATTATATAAAAAATAGGAAGTTATTAAGTAATTACACAATAAAATAAAGATAAAAATAATAAAAAAATAGGTCACACCAAAATAAAATATTTTTTTTATATATTAGATAGATAAAGTAAAGATAAAAAAAATAAAAAAAATAAACTATACTAAAATAAAATATTCATTTTATATATTGTATTTTTATATATTGTGTAGACTAAATATTAAATATATTATAAATTATAGATTAATTCATTTAAAAACGTATTAACTAATAATAATTATTCTAGTCATTCTTATTATTTAAAACGTTTAAACTAGAGGACTAAAATGCAATTAAATCATCAGTTTTTTATCTTCAAAAAATTAAAGTAAGATTTTCTTTTGCCGCAATAAAAAGACTTTGGTTAAACAAATTGATTGAATATCTGATCCCTGTGTATGATTAGGGTTTACACTTAGAACTCTGAATTCTAAGCGGCATGGAAAAGAAGGAGAACAAGGCAAAAGAGCACGGACAAGTCGGCAAAATCAGCGACAATCTCGACGGCGCCTCCACGCCATCACTCGTGTTCAGCAGCGATGATGATGATGAAGAAGCCAATCAAGATCTGAGTCTCAGAATTGTGGAAAAGGCACTACGAGCGCGAGAGGCAAAGCTTGCACCAAATGACGCCGTTTTGAACGGTATAAGTTCTTCGCTGGTTTCGCCTTCGCAGCAATCTGAATTTAAGGTAATGCAAAGCGACGCCGTTTTGGATGGGTCGAGTGGGATCACTGCTTGGGAAGTGATGGAGGAGAAGAAAACGACGAAGTTGATGGTGGACTCTGGAGATTCAAGTGTATGTCTTATTCTGTGTTTGGTTTCTCTTATTTTTGAAAAAATGTTTTATTTTCTTCTGTTTTTATTGATTTTGTATAGAATCGAATTTTCTTAGTGTGTGGCTCAATTTTACGCCTTTGTAAATCAACTAGATTATGATTAGATTGAAAATTGAAACTGTTTTGAAGGGGGGAAAAAGTTTGAACTGAAAAATTAGTTCAAAAAAAACTGCATTTTATCGTGTATTGGATAAGTTTTAAATTATAATTTAGAGGTGTTTTTAGCTGAGAATCTATGTAATGAATAAAAACAAAGCAGTTCTTAGTAACACCCACTTGGAGAATAGCGATTTAGCTGAGATACTTTGGGTTCATTATAATGCTTTTCCTTTTTCTGTAGGTTATTATAGCTGCAGATCAAGAGGTGGAACAGATAAACAAATCTACAGAGAACCATGAGTCTGTGGATCTGGAAGCAAGTCCGGTTCAGATAGGTGACAATGTGGTTCTGCGAAAGCTGCTTGTGAGTTGATATATTTGATCTGAAATGTGATTGATTTACAAAATACTGTAAGCTGAGGAATGTTAGTTGGGTATATCACTTCATGTTTCTTTTCTATCAGCGGGGTCCAAGATATTTTGACCCTCCAGATAGTAGTTGGGGAGCATGCTATAATTGCGGGGAGGAAGGTCATGCTGCTGTAAACTGTACAGCAGCGAAGCGGATGAAACCTTGCTATGTATGTGGTGGTTTGGGACATGCTGCAAAGCAATGTACTAAGGTATGTTTGCTTGCCTATTGGTTTCCGAAGTTTTAAAAGTGTTTATACTGAGATCTGCTTGATGCTTCTGTAGACGAATTGCTATATCTGTAAGAAAGGTGGTCACCGTGCCAAAGATTGTCCAGAGAAGTTCACGACGGCACGTGTTCCGAAAAGCTTAACGGTGTGCTTGAAGTGTGGGAATTCTGGGCATGATATGTTTTCATGCAGGAATGATTATTCACCGGATGATCTCAAGGTTGTTCTTTTCTATTTTGTCATATATTACAAATTTGCTAGAGGTTTTTGGTTTAGTTTGCATTAGAATAGTGCCTTACATTTGATATGAATGGCTCAGTCAGTGATTCTTTTCTTTCTTTCTTTCTTATGTTTAATTAGGAGATTCAATGTTATCTCTGCAAGACATTTGGCCATTTGTGCTGTGTCAATACTGCTGATGCAACACCGGGAGAAATTTCTTGTTACAAATGTGGACAGATGGGTCATACTGGTTTGGTAAGTTATATTTAATAAATAATATTGTTATTTACGCACCTTTCCTAATGTTTTTTACAAGGGAGATTTTATCTGTTCTTTTGATCCGTCAGTTTCCACACAAGAGACCCTAAAATGTTTACATATTCATAATTTGAGAATAATTTAATAAAAACTAAAAAATATACTGAAAATCTCTTTCAATCACCCTTAAATTTCTTGGTGGCATTTATGGTATAACATTAGGAGTGCATATTGAGACCTATAGGCTGAAGTGCTGAACCATTGAAACTTGAAGTTATATGATATTAATAGTTCACAATTAGATATTCCCTAAAATGAATGGATCCCGCATCATAACTAGCAAGTGGCAAATGCATGTACATCTTGTAATCATCACCAAAATATATCATTCCATAGAGTTATTTAGATATGCTAATTTTTATATATAAATTTCCAGCTACTAAGATTGAAGAGAAAAAAGATGTCATAGTATTAAGCACCAAGTACATATTTTTTATTTTATTTAAGTATAATGCTGTATTAAAATTACATGACTATATTACATCAACTTTATTAAAAATAATGATTTCAATGAGAGCTGAAACATTGAGTGGTTGAGTTTGAATGTAATTTTCTCAACTATATATTTATGAATAATTTTCAAAATCTTTGACCCAACACATAAAATGCTCCCTTTAAAATAAAACTATTGGCAAATATAAATTTGAGAATCAATTGATGTAGGCATGTTCAAGGTCGCACGGGGAAACTACTGGTGCTGCCACACGTACTTTGTGCTATAGGTGTGGAGAAGAAGGGCATTTTGCCCGAGAATGCACAAGTTCTATCAAGGTACATTTCAAAAATATATCATAAAATTACTAAAGTTGTACAGCTGTTTTGCCTTTTATTTTCCATTTTCATTTGTGTCATAGAATAAGTAGTTTCTTGACTGCCGTGTTTTCTTCGACAGGCTGGGAAGAAGAATAGTGAATCATGGAACACCAAAAGTAGAAGATCGTGTAAAGAAAATGATTACATGGGGCATTGGTCTGCACCTCATGATATGGGTAAGATGCACAAAACGAAACGTCCTCTTACAGATGAAAGAGGCCTTAGACAAACTAAGAAATCAAAGAGTAGAGGTGGCTGGACAAGGGAGCTTCCTTCAGAAGAAAGAGGTTTTACAACCCCCAAGAAATCAAAGAGTAGAGGCGGCTGGATGAGGGAGCGTCCTTCAGAAGAAAGAGTCTTTACAACCCCCAAGAAATCAAAGAGTAGAGGTGGCTGGACAATGGAGCATCCTGCAGAAGAACGGGACTTCAACACTCCCATGAAATTCAAAAGCAGAGGTGGCTGGATGACTGAGCACCCGGGAGACTTCTCTTCTTCAAAGTCCAATAGGAACAGTTGGATGTCTGCGGGGACACCATATGCTAGAAGCACTAACATGCATGCGAGTGGTAGTGGAAGTCGAACTCCAGGTTGGAGTTCTCAATCTTCTAAGGCGTGGAAAGGTCAACATTCCGAAGCCTCAAATTCCGCTTTCCAACATAGATACTCGTCATCAAGGTTTGGCAACTCTAGTGATGATGGATACAGGAGGAATAATTTGGCATCAAGGTTTGGCAATTCTAATGATGATAGGAGAAGTCATTGGTGGTAGCTTTTGCGTTCATGTTCTTTATATTGCCATCTGTAAATTAATAACGTTCAATTTTCTATATCAGTTATTCATTCAATACAATTTTCATAATTCTGTCTATCCCGTTGAGAGCAGACAATCTTCATTGGTGGTACTTGTTATGTTTTTAACTTTTTATCACTGCTTTGGATATCTTCCGAGAAGTAGCAGGGTATGTTTTGAACATTATCCTTTTACTATAGTACTTATACTATGTTTATTTTTTCCCCTTTATCCTTCTGTTCGATGGTTAGGTAGTTTGGAGACTGTTAGCTCTTCCAAGGGCTTTGCATACCCAATCTTTTGTTGCTCAGTTTCTCTTTTATTAGCAACCATGTCATAATCTCTTGCAAGTTTAACACAAACTTTTAACAATAAAGCTTTTTTTCAAAACTTATTGGTGACAATATTGACATAGGTGAACAATGGAACAATTTCTCTTTTATTAGCAACTATGTCATCATCTTGTGCAAGTTTAACACAAACTTTCAACAGTAAAGCTTTTTTTTCAAAATTTATTGGTGACAATATTGACATAGGTGAACAATGGAACTCCTATAACGACCAAAGCAAAAACTATTGTTTTTAATTTTTGTGAGCACTCTTCAGTGGGAGGAATAACACGAGCTAAGAAGCGAAGCATCGGTTGAGGATAAAGGGAGAAGTTAAAGATTGTAGGAAAATGCTAGTGGATATTAAAAATATTATACACGAGAGTTATGATAAAAAACAAGCTGCTAATGATGGATATATGACTGATGTTAGTGTCAATGAGAAAGATGAAGATGTCGTCTAAGAAATATCAAACTTTCGAATACGAAAAGACTTTCAGCAGTTGCTTCCGGAACCACTAATAATGCTAAAGGCTCGATGGATGCGTTAATGTTTCAAAATCCAATGGTATCGTTGTTTCCAGAACCAATAATAATGCTAAAGGCTCGATGGATGCGATAATGTTTCAAAATCCAATGGTATGGCATCCCATAAGAAGATGCTGGTAATAGGTAAAATGCAAACATCCATTAAAGATTTTTGTATGGAAAATGCAAGGGCGTTAACTAATCAATACATTTCTTGTTTCTTCTATCAAAATGGATTGTATTTTAATGATGTGAATTCTAAAAGCTCCAAGTTGATGATTGAAGCTGTTGGAAATTATGGGCAATACTTGAGGTCTCATAGTTACCCTGAACTTAAATTTCCCTTGCTAAAAAAGGATCTAAAGCTCACAAAGACAAAGAAGACAAAGTTATAAAGGCTGGTGATAGAGCAAATTCAATTTGGATGCTCTATCACATCAAATGCATGGACAAATTTGTAAGTCTAGGGCATTGATCAATTTTATGGTCAATATTTTAAGTGGGAGTATGTTGTAAGGAATGTTGGCGGTTCGGGATTATTAGTGATATGCTAGCTTAGGGTTGTTGTAACTGACTTTTGTCGTTCAGTCTGTTAGTAATATGCTATTGCAGGTTACATAATTGCTGCTATTGCAGGTTACATTATTGCCACTATAAATGCAATAAGTTGTTATCATTTGAGTTCAATCATCTCATAATAGAAAGTTAGTTACAACTGAATTTAGCAGTGCAACCATCAATTTCTAACATGATATCAGATTTCTAACACGATCTCCTACCATGACCTCTACGCCATCGGCGTTGTTGTCGTCTTTCGCTCATGTTCAAAACCAAACCTGATTACCATTTCTTAAGGGTTTTCATTTGTGCATGTTTTCCCCTTCTTAGGCCTTACAATGCTCATAAACTTGAGTTTAGGTCTCAAGAGTGTTTGTTTCTTGGTTACTCACTTATCATAAAGTATGTAGGTGATTTTCTTCAAGTGGTAGACTTTACATATCTAAGGATATCTTGTTTAATGATGTTAGGTTTCCTTATCTTGATCTATTTACAAGGTCTAAACCTAATGGTTCCCCAACTAAAAGTCTCACCTTGTCCCCCCTCCCTATGTACTCTTTACTTTTTCCCTTAACACTCAAATTTTCCTACATCATCTACTTCTGTCACCAAGGACAATGCAGTTAGTGAATCTCCTGCAGTGTCAGAGTCCACTCATATCTCTTTCAGTTCAGTTCCTAAGGCAGATTTTATTGTATCTCAGTCCATAAATTCTTCCTCTCCTAGATCCTCTCACTCTGAATCTTCAACAAAAATGTTTGACTTTATTCTACCCCTGGCCATACCTGTTACTAACATACCACTTAAGTCTCACCCTATGCAAACCAGAGCCAATTCAGGTTTCTCACAACCTAGACTTAAGCCTAGAGTGCTGCTCACTCACTTTAAACCTAAAAATGTGAAGCACGCCCTAGGTGACTTGCAGTGGAAGCATGCAATACATGACGAGTTTGATGCATTAATCCAAATGGGTGTTTAAGGTAAAAGAAAATTCTAATGGGACTGTAAACATGTTTGAGCCTCGGTTAGTTGCCAAAGGGTTTCATCAAAGATAAGGTTTTGATTTCACAAAAAACATTTTCTCCTGTGGTCAAGCCCATTAGAATAAGTATTGTGCTTACCATTGCTATCACTCATCATTGGAATTTCCAACAAATTGATGTTAATAATGCATTCCTCAATGACTTGCTTGATGAGGCAGTGTACATGGAGTAACCTCAAGGCTTTTTTAGTTCTAATCCCTAACTTGTGTGCAAGCTAGACAAAGTGCTCCATGGCCTCAAATAGGCCCCTAGGAAATGGTTTGAAAGGTTGTAAGTGTCGTACCTCAAAAAATGAGAACGACCTCGTGAAGCGTAAACGCATGCCCGCAGGATGAACTTAACAAAGTCGCCACCGATCTTAATTTATCGCCATAGAGAGAAAGGGAAAATATCAAATAAAACTCCTGAAAAGAGAGGACATGGATATGGTCATCACAACCAATATCTGAGTTCGGGAGTTAGTTACGCAAGTGGAAGGTATTAGCACCCCCTCACGTCCTTTGCACTCAACGGAAACCATTTAGTTATGATCGAATGAGTGTTAGCTTATGTTAATTTCTAATCTTCTACTTATTAGGATAGAAAAGAGAGAGAAGAGAAATGTTTTTGGATTTTTGTTTAAAGAGAAAGAGAACCTAAAGAGGTTTTTATTATTAGGGTGCTCACCAAGACTTCGCAGTCAAGTGCCTACGTATCCTTACATGAAAGAAATCAGAGCAATCATAGTTCGGGTAGAAGTTTGTTGGTTGGTTTTAGAGAAAACTAAATTGTATTAATCAACACAAGAACTTTATTTTACCCAAAACAAGTGAGGAGTGGACATTTTCACCACCTTGAATAGATTTACAAATCTCGTTCATGCCACTTATCTCAACTCAATGGTTGTAGGCAAAAAATTGCCCTAGTGTTTATTAAGACAACATCTTTTATTTGAAAAAGTCTTTGATCTTATTAGATGTCTTGAAGTTTTGTTTAAGAAGATACACTTGATGACAATCAAGGTTTGCTCACAAATGAGTATATGTTTTGGTGTCTTGATGATAATCAAGGGTTGTCCATAGAAATGGAGATTTGCGTATAGTTTGAATATATTTTAAGAATGATGAACATTTGGTGATGTTCAATTGTTCAAAGAGTTTATGCTAGAGTGTTAAACTCTAACAATCTCTTTCATTCAAGATTGATCAAGAAAATTGTTTGTGGACCATGAACATTAATAGTGATCAATTGTTCAAAGAATTGTGCCAGAATGCTAGACTCTAACACCTCTTGGTCGAAGTGGAATATTAATTTTGGTAAGGATGAAAGAAAGAAATACTTGGCTATCTCAATGTGCAAGACTTGAGACCAATCTTTCAAGGGTTTTGCTAGAATGATAGTTTTCAACAATCCTTTTCTTTCAAGTTTATTTCAAAAAAGTATTGATGTACTTTAAAGTATTTTAGACATCCTTAAGAAGGAAGAGAGTCTTGAAATTGCACTTGACAAAGGGTCAAAGTTTGAGAGGGCACTTGACAAAGAGAAAAAGTTTTGTTTAAGAGTAATTCAAATTTGTAGAATTGAAGTTTGGATTGAGTTTTAGGGTTCGAGAAACACTTGATGACAGTCAAGGTTAGAAGAGATATAATTATGGTTTGATGAGTAAGGGTTATGACAATGACACTCCTACTCATACATGATTTACAAATTAAATAAGTAACAACTTCTTCCCTAGAATTAGGTTGAAAGGAAATGAATTGACAAAGTAATGGGGAATAACTTAACAAAGTCATGGAAACAAGCTCATGATAATAGTCCTCTAAAGGTAACAAAGAGCTTACAAGCTACATAGATGAGACATCATCTAAGGATGACTTGATAAAGTCAAAAGGGAATGGTATGATGACAATTAACCAAAGTAAACAAAGAGTTCACAAGTTATATAGATGAAACATCATTTAAGGATGACTTGACAAAGTCATAAGAGATCAATCATGTTAAATACAATAGAGGTAAACACATGCATTCACATGGATGATACATCATCAAAGTTTAAGGGCATATTAAAAATTGTGGTTTATGAATTCACACATAGGGTATAACATGCATTAAGTTGATGTTCATCACAAAGATTCATCTCACAAGACTAATCATGGTAAAGAAAGTCAAACATGCTTCTTAATCAAAACTAGGTCAGGAGGTATTGACTATCATGCCTATCATTCATCAATCATGAAGCATTTGAAGCAAACATGAATACATGAATTCATTATTTAATCATCAGAGTATTAAAACATCAAACATGGTAAAGATTAAACATAAAGAATGTCAGAAGTGAAGGTGAGAAAATACTTAGAAGGGGGGGGGGGGGGGTTGAATAAGGATTTAGAAGACTATTATGGCAATAAAAACACAAAGATTTTTATCCTGGTTCGTTGAACTCAACTAATCCAGTCCACCCTATCAAGAGTGATTTGCCTTTCTCCACAAGGACTTAATCCACTATAATCAAACTGATTACAATATCAAACACTAAGAACAA